TCTACGCCGACCGAGCTTCGTACTCGTCATTTTCAATGGCTTGGGACATAATCCTGTTAACCGAACCCGGACTACATACTGAATTTACAGATGCTCTGCTCTGCATGCTTCTCCTGCGAAACGATCGGCCCAGCTGCGGATGCTGCATTATCCTGTATTACCGCTCTGACCTGCATCTCGATGTTATCGAAGATCCAGAAACGTAAGTTTTCGATTTTATCTGGTGACGTCTGCACCTGGTACGCGGCGATATGTGTTTACTGGCCTTAGTTTACCGCTCTCCGATGTCTACTCAGGAAGTAGAATGCCTTGTATATTCTGCTGCGAAGCAAGTTCTGGCACAGTCATACAGTTAGGTCCATCCGGTGCGAGACTTCAATCTGCGTGCAGTAGAATTTCCTGTCTCCTCAGCGAACAATTAAAAGCGGATTTGCAAGAAGAAATCGCATAAGTACATGTACAAACATGTTTTTTTCTCACACGCGATTCAGCACGGGTGACAAACCATCAGGTTAAAATCTTGTCCTCTCTAACAAGAAACGAATGGTCTGCAGCATAAAGGTAGGTGCACCACTTGAGAGCAACGATCACGTGAGGCTGCTCTTCCGTTAGATTTGCTACGTGGTGTACATTTGTCAAAACAACGAGAAAGCCCACGTCGTCCTTTATTACAGCATACAGTCATACCTCGTTCCAGAACCCAGTTGGTCCACCCTAGCCGAGCAGCCGTCAGATCGCACTTGGAGGAAGTTGGTCATCCTGTTCACAGTGATAGTAACAAACGCATTGGAAACCAAAGGCTTCCGCTCGAAGCAAGCGAAATCCTTCGTGGGGGACCGAACTCGAAAAGGCATGCCACAAAAGGATTCAGCCAGGCACACTTACAGATCCCATCCAGGTGTGCAGACATGCTGTGCCAACATAACTTAACGAATCTGCGTCAAGTTGGTCAGTGAAGACAGGCTCCAACGGCAAGTCTTGGAGATGAAATTTAGCACTAATCCCAACATGATGTACATTCAGGCCAACAAGCTCCGCACAGCGCAGCGCGGAGTCTCAGTTCCGCGTCAAGTAGATGGTCCAGCGATATCTACACAAGAGGCGGCAAATGCGTTTCAGCAACATTACATCCGCATTTTCTAGAGGGAATCGTTATCTCATCCGCTTTCGACACAGCTTCACCGCCCCCAGAAGTAAGTCATTTATCGTGCATGTCAGCGAACGTAATGAAACTTTTACTGTCCTTGCGCGTGCACTGCTCTTCTGGCGTGGACAGCTTGAGATCGAGGACATTAAAGACAGCCGTCTTTAATATTGCCGAAAGGTTAGCTCGATTCTTTCAACGATGACTGGATAAGATATAAGTTCCGACGTTGTGGTGCTATGAAATAGTCACTCCTATTTACTAGCGTGCTAATAATACGGAGCCTTCGAGTGACCGTCCAGTCACTCCTCTCCCGGTGTTATCCAAATAAATGGAAGGCATTGCCGCGGAGGTGACTATGAGATGCTTTGAGAGTAACCACATCATTGTGCCACAGCAGTATTGTTTCCGCCGAAATCGGTCCTATACTACAAACTTGCTGCTAGTCCAAGCAAGCCGAACGGAATTAATCGATACCAGAGTAGTGGTCGACGTCGCCTACTTGGACTTTCAAGGTGTTCGATGACCCGGACCATCGCATTCTTCTTTAGAAGCTTCAAAGCTACGGAAGCGGTGACTCTTTGCTGGGTTGGATAAGCAACTTCCTCATTCAACTTCAGCTGAATGTGAGTCCTCAGCTCCATTTCTGACCCAATTGCAGTCCGTCGTGGCGTGTTTCAAGGATAAGCACTCCGTCCACGTTTAGTCCTAATATTGATTAACGACCTTGCTAGTGTACTTTAGTCGAACTTCTTGTTATTTGCACACCATGTCAAAATTTGGCATGACATCAAGACAATGGTAACTCACATGACACTGCAGAGAGGACTGGACAGGGCCTATACGTGGTCATGCGAAAACCGGCTCCAGTTCAACGTGGTGAAATGCACGTTTGTGGGCGCATGTCATCAGCCTACCTTTCAACATCGACTTCGAGAACAGTATCTGTAACCTGTTGCCCATGAAAGCCATCTCGCAGTAATCGTACAGGATGACAGTGGTTGTTCGGAACGGGCCGAAACGATGTCGAGAAAAACTAGTCAGCACCCTGGCCTTATACGGAGGACTTGCGAAAAATGAGAGCTATCCACCTTCCCGCAGATGATGAAAGCCAACATGACGTTTCATGTGGAATCCGCGATCCAGGCCTGAGATTCATGGTGCCAACGGGATATTGATACGCTTGTAGCTCCACAACTTAGGGACGAAACTCGTATTGTCTCCTCAGTACCATTAACAATAACCGATATGCATAGATATAGCTAACAGTGGGTGCAACCAGACAAGCTTAAGGTGCAAAACGAATGACGGTAGTTCACACCTATGTCCAAGACAGCTTTAAGCTGACAAATAATTGTTTCTGAACGCACAAGACTGGCTTAATCCGGCTTATTGCGACAGCCTCAGCAAACCGAAGGAAGCGGGGATTAGTGTGACGTAATACAAATTTAAACGCTGAGCCCAGCTCTAATTGGTGACCCGAATCTAATAAGTGTTTGCCTATCGAGGAAGCCGGCGGTCTGCGCGAACATGGAATCTGACGAGAGTAGGCAATTTGAGCAACTTCACGTTGAACCCAATTTGGCATATGTTCCTTTATTCGGGAAGTCAGCGTTCTATTAGTTCTGCCTATGTAACTTTCCGCAGTCACATACCAGCCTTCGTCTTCTTTCCGTGCTTTTCAAATGGTTGAAGGGAACTAACTGCTTTAAACATCTCTCGTTATTAGAAAAATAGTGATGTAAAGCATGTGATTTTATGCGCCCATGACAAGTAAATCAACGGACATAATTACCATACAATGTGTGTTCATTATTCAAAATGCTCCCCATTTCAGTGGGTTAGATTTATCACACAGATGTTTTAGTTTCAATTCACTGAAGCGATACGTGCCAATTAACTGACCGAACAACTGCAGCTGAGTTTGAAAAGCAATCAAAATAGAGTTCGTCTTCCATATGTATGTGGCATGCGTATTATGCCTTGCGATAAAACGGTGAGGCGTGTTGCCGCCACTTGTTAATTATGCTATCGGACAAATACACAGGTTAGAATGCCCAAGACCCTCGTAGACAACAACCTTATACGGAGTATTTCGATTCATTGTCCACATTACCTAACGGCTAAATTTGTTCATGCATGGCCGATCGCAACACGCGGTGAGCGAGTTCGTGTCCAGAAACATTGGTTTCCGTCAGTTCAATTGTCACCCGCTCTTCCAGAATTCACTTAATCTCAACTGTGCTCTGCACCGTAATGTCCTACTGTTTGACAAAAAGCTTTTTGCAATTGATGTGATCTCTCCTTTTCACGTAAACAGTATGCGCCAAAATATCCAGCTCAGTGAGAAACATTGAAGCTGGGACTGATCGGTTTCATTTATTCAGCGCAACAATTGCAGTGTTCTGATACGATGCGCCATTCAGTCCAGTTTTGCGCAAACATGAAACCGAATGCTTTTGGAACGAATGCGCAAAATGTATACTGGTAGAAAGCAAACCCAGTAATGTATACTGTGAATCTAAGCTGCGTAGTAGCTTTTCTCTTTCTGAAAAACCATAACTGCCGCGGAAATTTAGCACTTTTGTGCGTGCACTAACTCAGGCCTAATCAGGTGGGGTTTCATTACATTTTGAAGTATGGCCTAGCTATTTAAATCAGTGTGTTTTGTGCTGAGAACAGTATAAGATAGGAAGGTCAACTAGAATGAGGAATGCTTTTTGACAGACAAAGAACGCGGATATATTGCACGTGCTAACACCACAAGAACACAACAAACACGCACACACAAACACCTCTGATGTCGCGGTTCCATTGCGGAACAAAAATGATCTAGCTGAGCGGCAGGATCATCGATATCTGTCTACAAAAGCAGTGGTCTCGCTACTCTTCGGTTATATCTCAGTAAAGGACGGCTTCAAAAGCCAACCTGGGTGCATCATTCGGACCGAGATGAATAATCGATTACCTTGTTACATTAAACTGTCGAAAGCGTTCATGTGATCTAGTCAGGTGGCGTGTAGCGGGACCCCATAGAAGAACATTTAGCATTCAGCAGAGCGAAACGATTGCAGTGACTGATCGAATTATAATATCCTTGCCATCTACATCTTCACACTCTTAGTTAAGGTGCACCAACGGAGTTTTACTACTCAAGGGGAGTAGGTTCCTCTGGACGTGAACCACTGCGACCAATGATGAACTAAAAACAGTTGATAGAGTCATTTATTGTCACATTCAACCAGTAACTAAAGTATAAATGTGGGTCGGTTTTGTCGGAAGTAAGCTTTGCAACTTGAGGACAGCGTCTCGCGTTAGTGGATTTTAGTCCTAACTACATGTTTCCGTGCATGTATCACGGCTTTTTATCATAAGCCCAGCTCGTTAAGTATTTTTACAAAATGTTCCTCGGTTTTATATCCACTTGGAAATGCGGGTCATTCAGTGCCCGATTGTAACCGATATACTAGCATTCAGGATGGCACTGAGGATCGGCTTTATCCGATCGGAAGCAAGATGTTAATGAAGGTTAACAGTGATCTGAACACTTGTTCTAGTTGTTTTAGTCCAAATATCTTGTGATTGTCATGCCCAACCCGCTGACCACGTTTTTGTCGTATACTCATTGACGACAGCCGAGGATAGTTAAATCTTACAGTAGGTCTAGCAACTGATTTCCTGTTAGGAAGATGAGTTAACTGTGCAAGATGGAATGGCTGCAGCTAACTGAAGCTAAGCTTCTCGTCTGGATACATGAATTAAGCTACATTAAACATGCCGGTCTGACCGCGTGGTTAACTCGTGACTCATGAACTAATGATCCATTCGATGTCACAGTACACCAAGCATTACTCACCGGATCCCATGTTAACGCTTCCTGATCAGTGAGCGAAGAAGCTCTAACGGCGAGCCATAAGAATGGTACCGATTTCTTTGAGTAACAAATGTGATTTGGTGTTAAGCAGTACTTATGGTATTTATCGCACGCCGCTTATCCTGGCCAATGCGAGAAGCAGAGGTAACAACCAATCATAGCGTCGCGTGGTCTGGAGTCGTACAGCGATTCACCAGCTACACTTTTGCGTGTGCCGTGGCTCACATCAAAATGATGCAAAACGCGGTTCTGAATAGCGAAAGAAGAAGTTTTGTTAGTCAGCCGAAGGTAGAGCACTGACATTGCTTCATTCTTCATTGAACGAGTCATACATTTAACCAGGCTATTAAGAAGTGAGGAAGGAAGTTGTATCAGACAGTGTCAAGGTAACGGAGTACAACAATATGCGATCACAGCTTCATAGAAACAGGGAACGTGTGGAACTTTTATTTTGTCCCAGGTAACCGAGCTCAGTTCTCTTAATGCATAGAAGATTTGATGACGAGGGACACTGGAGGTTCTGGTCCTCCATACGAATAACCACTGTACAAGGTTGTAGGGTTTAGAGAGAGGGAGTGCAGGTTATTCCACCTATGTCCTAGAGTTGCATGATGCTCATAAGCAGCCGAAGTAAGAAAGATAACTGCTGGAATGAGGAATCGGAAAAGGATGAATGAATAGACATGAGGTAAAGTTCAGCACAGTAATATAACAAGAACGAACAAACTTTGGGTGAGACAAAGTGAATTCGGATTATTTCGTGTCTAGCGATTTCGAGCACGTGCAAAATATCATCATCATCACCATCATCATCATCATCATCATCAACATCACCCTCATCAACAACATCATCATCATCAGCGTCATCAACAGCATCAGCATCATCAACGGCTGATGCTTCGCTGCCATACATTCATGAGGACCTATGAAATGAACAACGAACAATGAATTTATACCAGTTATGAAGCTTTGCTTAACAAGTCCCGTTGGATACCTCTGGGAGATATCAACATGACAATAATGATGATAAGGATGGTAAGATGGTTAATAATTAAATATGCGAATGAGGACTTATCGCTTGCACCGCTGTACTCCTGCTTTCCTCTTCATTTCACAGCACCCACAGTTAACAACAAATAATTCCATGGTATACTCCATGTGTAGGATGGCGACATAGTGTTAAGTAACAAAGTGCAAGTGGATGAGTGCATCGTCCAACCATCTTATAAATACTGTTAGTGTCGGTGCCGAGACGACCGATTCTGGGAGAGCATTCCACGGGTGACAGACACGGATGGAAAAGAAATTTCTGCTGCACTCCAGACGACTGTATTGTTCTGCGAGTTTTAATGAGTGACCCCTCAGGTTTGTATTGCTGCTGAGTTGCAGTAAAGGGCGGCACACATGATGTGGGTCTCGCAGAATCAAGTATGTCATAATCAGGTCACCTCGTAGTCTGCGATAGCTTCCACTGAGCACCCCCAATCGTTGCAGCCTCTCCTGGTAGGAAAGATTGCGCATTCCAATTATGTTCTTAGATGCTCGGCGTTGTGGCTGCTCCATTGCATTAGAGTCGTGTTTCAGCCATGGATGCCAGGCTTGAATTGCGTATTCGACATGGAGGCGAACATACGCACTAAGCATTTGTCGAAATATGGAGCTGTTTATTTGTCCAAACGCCCGTCGCAACAGTCCGACGTGTTGGTTCACGGTCTTCGAGGCCTTTTCGGATTGTCTGGAGCAACCCAAGTCATCGTGAACCAGGACACCCAAGTCACGTTCGAGAGTTGATTGTTGTAACATATTCGTTCCGAAGCAGTATGTTTAACTGCCCTGATGTCTGATGGAAAGCACCTTGCATTTATTGACATTGAAATGCAATAACTTTTGGGTCGACGATTGATACACCGTATCTAGGTCACTCTGAAGCACATGTTGGTCGGCGTTCGCCTGGGTCCTGCGCCAGATCTTGATATCGTCAGCAAACATTGGAAAGTTTGAAGCGATTCCCTGTGCAAGGTCACTAATAAACACCAAAAACAAACGCGGACCCAGAACTGAGCCTTGCGGCACACCACACTCAACTTGCATGGGGTTCGATAAAGAGCTCCGAACTCTGACCACTAATTGCCGTTCAAGTAGAAATTTGGCGATCCAGCTTAAAAGAGGGTCGCCGATCCCGTAATGCTGCGGCTTGGAGAGTAGTGTCCGATAGTCCAGACGATCAAAGGCCTTGGAAAAATCCAGGTAGATCACATCAACATCTTCTCCAGCGTCAGCTGCCTCGGTCCAACTACTGCGTGCAACTAGTAAATTCGTTGTACATGACCTCTGTCGACGGAAGCCTAGCTGCTCAGGAGTGATGAAGTTGCAGTTTTCCAGATAGCACACTAGTGCATCGGCAACTATGGATTCCATGACCTTGGAGAGTATGGGAAGAGGGGATACTGGGTGGTAGTTGGAGGGATCCGTTCTGCTTCCCCCTTTGTGAATCGGGGTTAATATTCCAAGCTTCCACATGGCGGGAACTTGGTTCTTGTCTAGGCATCGCTGGAAGAACTGAGCTAAAGGTCCAGCAGGTTGGTTTGCTGCTGCCTTCAGTGCTTCTTGACGAATGGTGTCGACAACCGGCGTGCTGTGTTTGCGTAGAGACGTCAGCTTTCGCAATACGGCCTCCGCGGTAAAAGTGATGTGGGTTAGCCCTGGCAAGAAGACAATCTTGGTAGATCGCCTGGTGGCAAGACCCATTGAAATGTGGGAGCGTATTGCATCTGCAGCGCGTTTGCTGCTTCCGCATCCGTTCTTGTTGGGCCACCAGCCGTCTTGAGTGGAGGAAATCCTTACCTTACCTTTCCTAGGCTATTTACGTGCTTTTACAGCAGTTTGTGGTTAGCGCTGAAGGTTTTTGCGTTGTTCTGCTGATAGATGGCTTTGCCTTCTCTTGACAGCTGAGTGCAGTGGCTACGTATTTGTCGCAATTTTCTTGTGCTGGAGCTTCTCTGTACACTCGCCATGCTGCGTTACGTGCTCTCATCCATTTTTGAGTTCTGTTCCTAACGAAAGAAACTGAGTTACCCTTACTGCAAACTTTTATCTCTGAAGTCTCTGCAATCAGCTGATTGAATATTTTGACAAACTCGAGCCAGGCGACTTCCGGGGGTTCTTCTTCGAGGAAAGACCAAGTTGTGGCGCTGACGAGCTGAGCTAATCGATCGTAGCTTGTGTTGGTTCGCACAGTCTCATCGTTCTCATTTAGATATTCTGCATAGCAGACGAAGTGGAAACTGACCACGGCGTGATCACTGCGATCCAAGGAGCAGTCTAAAACCAACGCATCAATCATATGCTCCTCGTTGATAAGCACAAGATCCAGCACAGATGGCCTGTTACCTGTTCTGAACCGAGTGGGCAAAGTGATGTGATTGTAAAGAGGCACAGTGGTTACTAGATCTTGTAGATCGGTTTTAAATTGTTCTCCGATCGTGGCAGGAGTTTCTAAACAATGTGCATTGAAATCACCCATGATAAGAATGTTAGTGTACTTTTGTTGTAAACTGCACCTTAAAGCAGCCGCTAGATGGTGGTCGGTTTCGGGTGTTGAGTTAGGAGCGCGGTACACCAAGACAATAAGACAAACGTCCCTGCCTTTTAACTGCAACCGGCAAAAAAGAGAGTCGGGGAACTGCGAGTCTGAATCCTCCACGGCTTCGCACTGTAAGTCGTTTCGGTAATACAGGATTACCCCTCCTCCTTTTGTGAGCCTATCGTTCCGGATCAGCGACACGCCCGGTAGCGAAACTTCGGCTTCCATCATTCCCGTGTACAACCACTTCTCGGAGATACCAATGACATCATATGACCCGGAAGCTTGGAGATCTTTAAGTTCAGCCACTTTGTTAGAAAGACCCTGAGCATTCATAGACAATCTGGCCAGTTTCTCGGTCTCTAGGAGCCCACAGAGGAGTGAAGGTGTCACGTGTGGGAGAATACAGACCGATGGGAGGTCAGCAGTTACTCGTTTTTTTGCTGGGATAATGATACCTCGTTTGCTAATTGATTCGGCCAAGGTGCGTCCCAACCTTCGTTTAGACCTAGGTCAGAGTCAATTAAAGAAGCAGTCAAGTCACGATTCTGTACATTCATCGGTATGCTTGCTGCTTCAGTTGCTTTAATATTTGAGCTGTGCAAATCGTTTGCAACCTTTAACCGAATTTCAGAAGGAAGATGTTTCCGATTTCTCCTCCATCGATCTAAAACCTCCTTTGCTTGGCGGGGGGGGGGTAATTACCTGAAAACCTTAATGCCCTAAGCATTCAGGGTCAAGGCGCCTACGCCTTGTGTAGACAACGTACCGTCATAAACAGCTGACTATCGTGCAAAGATAAGTGTTTAATAGCGAAGCGTGAAAGCTTGCCCACACTAAACAGCCAAAACCTGTAGCTTATCGTGTGATGAAGACGTCAGCGAGACCGGTTTCCACCATCTTTCATTGGTTCATTCGGTAATCTGCCTAATAAACAAGTTACCTGACAGCACCCGCACTTCAACCTTGTAGTCCAGTTGGAGCACCGGAGCAAACACAACAATGACGGCCTTGGCATGCATTGTCCTGCAAACTCAGTCATACACAGTGTGTGGAGGAAACGTTGTCAAACAGGACCGGAAGGATGCCAAAGCAGGCGGCAAAGTATTGTGGTATTCAAGCTAGTAGTTTGTATATGAATAAGGCACAATGATATATCACGTGATAGAATGCAGTGCTTGACAGCTCCTGTAAGCTCGTTGGGGTGCAAACAATGAAAGAGAAATATATGTGAGTCATCTAACGAGCGTCTACCGTAACAAATGCGTTGAAAACAACGCCAGTTTAAAAATCACACAGAACGAAATACAAGGGGTGCAGAGATCGTGGATGTAAAGCGTAAGAAAAGTAACATGTGGTCGCCCACTTTTGTGCCGCTTTCCTGCGTCCATATGACGTATAAATCCTGTAGAAGGGCCTGATTAAGGTAATCAAAAATGGCGTAGTTTAGATAACAAAGTGATGGGAGCTAAGGGCA